GCATAAAACACGACTTGGGATACGCCCTGTAATTTTCAAGATATTGTTGATCTGGGCCCTTCAATGATTTCCCGGTAATGAAGATTTTACCAAGTAAAAGATTCAGTTTTTCATCATCTGGGTTCTTTTTTTCTCAATAACAGAACAAATCATGACACATTACATATTTATTACCCATGTCCACTATATTCACATATTTACATGATAAAATTAGTAGCTTTGCCTTTGAAAGGGGAAAATAAAAAGGGTGTTAGATAGCTTCGTTTACCTCAATCAGGCAAATTCCCTGCCCGAAAGATGACGAATTTAGAGACAGTAGAATACCTATACTCAACACCATTGCTCCTCAACAGCTCCTCTATCAAATCCTTGGCCCTCTCAGGCTCCGAGCTCTCGCACTCGACCTCGTAACATGTCCCGAATCCATAATCCGTCTCATCGACCTCCAATCTCAGCCCATTCCACTCGTAAACCCCTCTTACGTTCCTAAACCCTCCCAAACAGACTAAACCGTTGTCCCCAATACCGAATTCATCCCTCACTCGCCTCATAATGTCGGAAGACTCGATCTGGAAGAGGTAGCGCGGCTCGGCGGTGCAGTGGCGGCCGAAGGTGGGGTCGATCGGTTCCTCCTGCTCCTCGATGCGGCTGATGCCGCCGGAAATGCGGGGTTTGGATTTGAGGGAGAGGACGCAGCGGGAGTCGAGGTCGTAGAAGCGGAGGCGGAGGACGGCGAGGGCGGAGGAGAGCTCGGCGTTGGAACCGTCGAAGAAGAGGTTTTGCTGGAAGTGAGTGCGGCGGTGGAAGGGGGAGAGGACGGCGGAGAGGCGTTCGTGAGCGGCGAAGGAGGCGAGCCGGAGCTTTACTTCTACTTCCATTTGGGGGTGTTCGGGATTTTTTCCTTTTATTTATTGAATACTTGGACACAGATTAGTTTAAAAAATATCCAGATTTGCACTATTCGTATCCGAAAATGATTTAAAAAATCTGTTATTTATTATGTGGGGCCCGCCATTTTGGGTCTATCACCAAATCATTTTCAACATAATAATATCAAAATAATTTTGACATGAGTCCTGCCATTTTGGATCTATCACCATTATTTTTTGGTTTCACACCGAAAAAAACGTTGTACCATAAAAAAAAAAGCGAAAAAACGAAAATCATACGACTAGCATGGTCATATATATTAGCAAAATATTATTATGTTTGATATTTAAAAAAAATAACAAATAACCGGGAGAAACATGAAATCAATTGTTATGCATTACAGGCCGAGAATTTTGACAATGGTTACACAACAGAAAAGTCCAAGAACAAAAAATAAAAGTAAACAAGCCGAATCAGTATTCGCCGAGTTGTTTGTCATTGGTTGCGTCCATGTGCCAGCGGTTTCAGAGTATTCTGTTGCATGTCCGCCGTCTGCACTTGTTTGTGAAGAATTACCTTGACCAGTCTGGAATGTAGTCTGACTTGGTTGTGAAGAATATTGACGATGAACATCGTCCGCCCAAATGAAACACCGGGGGTGTTGTTGCCGAGCAGGACATCGGAAAAAATACTTTCCGTAGTTTTTTTTCAGTTTTAGCCATTAAAAGGATCATACGACCCTGCCCACAATAGCAGAAAGGAGTTTCCATATGAAAACTTTTTTTTCTAGACTATTTTTGTTTACTGGTAAGATGTTTTGTGCAAGAAAAACTCCCACAACAAACTTCCATTTTATAGTATGAGTCTTCCTGCGTGGTCTAGCAAAATTTCTATTTTTTTTTTTTATTAAATTGAGTATGCAAAAGCCGGGAATCTCGCCTGCATCCCATTCTTTCAATTNAAAAAAAAAGAAAAAAAAAATAACGCAGGCTTTTGTTCGGATATTCACAGCATGGTCGTGGTATGGACATCCCTCTCCTGATTTTACACATCTACTACAGCATGGTCTTCATGATAAATTATGGGCACAACTTTTGCTTTATTTATCACAAGTGGTAGCATGTGAGCGATATGGGCGTCCCTCTCAGTCCTGATTTTACACACCTTCTACAGCATGGTCTTTATGAATATGTATTATATTATGGGCACATCTTTTGCTTTATTTATCACAAGTGGTCGCATGTGATTCCCAATCTCAATATGGGAAGTGACATGCGCAAGTCCTTTTTTTTATTCACCACAGTATGTATTATATTAATATATTAATAATAGTACTGCTAGCATCTGCATGACAAAGTCATCTTCATTAATACAACCTTTGCTTTCTTTATTACAAATGGTAACATGTAATATAATAAATAGTTTGTGTAAATGTTGGTTTGTAATACAAGTTGCACCAATTGATTTATTTTGGATGATACAGTTCACAGTAATCCATATAATATTTTAAAAAAATTAAAATATTGAAACTTACGTAAAAAAAAAAAGAAAATATTGTTGTACAATTATTTTGCAAAAGGTCATACTTAAGAAGATAGAAAGGTAGAACTGGTAGAATTAAGAAAAAAACAAATATTGACAATACACTTTGGTGTAATTATTTGCTTCTGCAATCATTTTTTTTAAGTTATTTTGTTTAACTCGAACATATTTTCTAAATACAAAGAAAAATAACATTTATTAGACACAAGTTGAAGTTGTTTTTCCGTAGTTATTTTTTAAATTTCAAGACGTTATTTCATTTTGTTAAGACAAAATCATTGTGAAAATGATGTTCATGAGATGGTTATTTAAATTTAAAATGGTTCCATAATTTTATTTCATGTGATTGTGCCATATTAAAAAGTAGTTTAGATTTGGGACAATTTCATTCAATCCACGCGTTACATCTTTCGTTTACTAATGGACACGCCATCACGGTTTTTAAGAATTATAAAAAGAATTTACCATAGAAGAGGAAGTTTAAAGAAATCTTGATTCATTTAGGCAAAGCAGGTACAAACACTTCGCAACATTACATAATACAAAAATTGAAAATACATTGACACTGTTTATCGAACAATGCAGCCAAAATGGTTTTTATTTTTTAACGCCTCCTTCTACGCACCGCCTGGCGCACCTCTTCGGCCCAATAGTCGGCTATCAATTGATCAAACGTCGGAAAATCAGGGTGCCTTTTCCAAATCTCTTAATCCGGGTAGTTGTTCAAACTTAAATCGGCAAATGTCCTCGTAAGGGTATCCCACATAGGCTCTGGATTGTTAAAATAATGCTCTCCTGGTGGCCAGTGCTAAAGCATATAAAAGTAAACGAGAAACAACGTGAAGCATGATAAAGTACGTGCATGATTGAGGATTGTTTTGCGACAAATAAAGTAGACGCTAAAAATGAAAGATGAATTTCGATTACCTCGATTGCAATCTCCCGTTGATACCCGTCAAGATGTACGTATTTATCGTTGACGTCAAAAATCGCGTTCGGTGTGTCGATCAAATATTTAAACGTACGGTACCTTTCTTTTAGGACCATGAACGTGACAACGCACTCTTCCAAGGTGAGATTCGGATCAATTTATGTCAAACACGCTTGGTGAATATTTTCAAAAGTGTCCAGGATGTCAGATTCTTTTGTCATGCCCTCTGTCTCAACGAATCTTTTGACTATTACACAAAATAATTACTCCTTAGATGAATTCCATTTATGGGCAAATCCTTCTCGCACAAATTGAAAGTGTGCGCTCTTATTTGTGGGAAAGGGAAAGGTTAACATGTTTGCTTGGAAGGTGTGTGTTGGGCAGAACACATGATGAAGTCTATTTAAAGGGGGAAACAACAATAAAAAATATATAAGAAAAAATAAAAAAAATGAAGGTGTGGGTGAGGAAAATAATTATAACCCTTGGGTCCCTTTTCATAATTATAGTCGGTTGAAATTAATTTGTGTTCGTTAAACTATATTGTCCGTGTGATGCAAGAGACACATATATTAATCTTTCGGTTCAATAATATGTATTGTGCTTGCATTCTACATACTACCAAAAATAATAATATATTAATTTTTTTCGTAAGTGTGTATGAGTAGTACTAATATATAATATATATTAGTATATATTATACTAATATATACTTATCTTAGTATATATATATACTAATATACCAATATTAGTATCATATATTGAAAATATAGTGGACACATGAGTTTTTTTCATAAGTGTGTATGACGATTTTGTATTCATACATATAATACATGTAAACATATATAAATATAATATAATATATTACATAAATATATAAACATATATTTATAATATAATATCAACGATATGGTTTTTTTATATATATATATATATATATATATATATTTTTTTTTTATATATATAAACAATTAATCAAAGAAATCTGTATATATTTAACTCCTGATAAGGCCCCTGGGGAAGATGGTATGAGTGCTTTCTTTTACCAACACTTCTGGCATTTAATTCAACATGACTTCTCTGTGGCTGTTATTAGTTTCTTTACTTCTGGCCAGCTTTTGCAATATTGGAATCACACTATTTTGTCTCTAATCCCAAAATGTCCATCTCCTGACTCTCTTGGCCAATTCAGGCCCATAAGTTTGTGTACTGTGGTTTACAAGGTGATTTCAAAGGTTCTTGCTTTGAGGCTTCAGACTTGTCTGGCAAACTGTATTAGTATTCAACAATCTGCCTTTATCATTGGCAGACAATTGTTAGACAATGTGATAGTGGCCCAGGAAGCTTTTCACTTTCTGAACAGACATGCTTTTGGTAAGAATTTTTTTATGGCTCTCAAACTAGACCTCATGAAGGCTTTAGACAGGGTTGAGTGGCTCAACCTTAAGAAGATCATGATACAAATGGGGTTTCACTCAGATTTTGTGAAATTAATTATGGCCTGCATCTCTACTACATCTTTATCTTTCAAAATCAATGGAGAGGTCAGTGGATACATATCTCCAACCAGAGGAATTAGACAGGGGGATCCTCTTTCCCCCTATATATTCATAATTATTGCAGAACTACTCTCAACTCTTGTGTTGGATGCTTGTAACTCTGGTCACCTTAAGGGATTGAAACTGTCTCAGAATGGTCCATCTATCTCTCATCTTCTATTTGCAGATGACTCCCTCTTCTTTTGTAGGGCTGGTGTTGATCAAGCTCATTTGCTTATGGATCTCTTGAATAAATATAGGTTGTTTACTGGCCATACTGTGAATCTTCACAAATCTGCTATTTTCTTTAGCAGAAACACTCCAAGCCACATTCAGAGGAATATCTGCTATGTTTTGCAAGGGATTCAATCACACAAATCCACCAGATATCTGGGTCTGCCTTTGGGCATTGACAGATCAAAGAAAGAGGTTTTTTCTTACCTCTTGGAATTTATTCAAGGCAAACTCCAAAGCTGGAAAGCCAAACTCCTGACCTCAGCAGGAAAAGCAGTGCTCCTGAAATCAGTTCTTCAAGCCTTACCTATTTTTACTATGTCTAGGGATGGCAATTTGGCCCGGACCCGGTCCGACCTGGCCCGACCTACAAAATTTGAGGCGAGTTGGACCCCGCCCGTTATCAAAACGGGCCAGGGCAGGTCCGCCCCTTTGCGTAAACGGGCCAGGTCTGGGGCATATATGTCAGCCAGCCCCGATCCACCCCGCCCAGACCTGGCCCGCTAGAGAAAGACATTTAATTTTCCTACCTGCTAGTGCCACTCATACCTTCTCTCACTTTTTTTTTTTTTCTCTTCTCTTCTCCCACTTAACTCATCGCCACTCACTTTTTCTTATTTGTTTTTTCTCCCCTCTTCTCTCACTTCTCCCAGCCTCACTTTCTCAATTTCTCTATTATAATATTTTTACTCTCTTTCTCATTCTTTTATTCTCCTTCCAAAAATTTTTCTACTTCAATTTTTTCTTTTTCTTCTCTCTTTATCCATTTGTCTTTACATTCACACACTCACAGATCTGGGAAATTGAGGGTTGCAGTCTGAAATGTCCCAAACTTGGGTTTGGAGGCGGCGGCCGCGAGCCACAATTGGGAGAGGGATGCGGGCCACGGTTAGGAGACGGGCCAAACGGTGATTGCAGATGGCGAACACGCTGGCAAATAGAATCAATTATTGTGTGGATAATTAGTTAGGGTTTTGAAGTTTGATTTGCTTGATTTTTGTAATATTCATTTTTTAAAAAAATCCTTTTTGTATGATGTTTGAAATTTCCATCTGGTGACCTTTTTTATGGTAAAATTAGAAGCTGCATGTTTGGGTGAGGTATAGCTGCAGGAAAAAAAAAATATGGGTCAGGGCGGGTTGGCCCGCCCCGATGCGGGCCAGGTCTTGGGGCCGTCCTGGTGGACCTGTAGCGGGGCACGGGCCAGGTCGGGCCACGCGTGTAGAGTCACGGGCCAAGTCTGGGTATGGCACTACTCGATCTGACCTAACCCATTGCCATCCCTAACTATGTCTTGCTTTAACTAACTGCTGCAATTTGTTCTGCCATCTCCAGGCTTTGTGCAAATTTCTGGTGGCACACCAATGCAGAAGAAGCAAAGGGCATTCATTGGAGGAGTTGGGAAAATCTTACAATTCCAAAGCTAGATGGGGGCCTTGGTCTGCTGGATATCAAACTTCTCAATAAAGCCCTCATTTGCAAACAACTATGGAGGATTACAGCTCACCCTGATCTGCTTGTAAGC